TATATATATGTATTAGTATTTAACATACAATTTTGTCTTGATTACAATATATAATTTTATTTTATTATTATTACTCTAATTTCTACTATTCTTATTTTATTTATGTATATCAAGTACTTTTCATGTCGCATTTATTGCTCTTGTCCCACTGTTATCGATATGTATATGTAAGCTTATGTATGTGTGTATTTGCATGCATGTGCATGTTAATATCAGATGCACCTGTGAATAATAAAATTCAAATCACTTAATGCTGCCAGCAGTTGAGAAACGGCACCGACGTCTCCACTTAAACAATACGGCAACACCCCGTTCACACACATACACTGACATGCGATATGCAGTTAGAGTAAGATAGGCAGAGAAAGAGAGAGATACAGTGCAAGAGGGAAGGAGACAAAGGCAGAAAGAGAGAGAGAATGAAAGAAAGAGCAGGAAAAAAAAGAAGGAGAGCGAAAAGGAAAGAGGGTGAGTGAGTGACTGAGATAGAAAGAGAGTTGTTGACTTTTTGTTTTTGCGTTGCTGCCTGCGCTGCTGGGTAAAGAAGCATAAGTAAGGCGCATAGAAATAAGGTTGCCACCACAGCTGATGCCACCTGGCAGCCTGGCAGCGCTGCGGAAACAACAATAAAAATATCAACAATGCGAGCTTGCTAGCTGGTGCAGGCGAGTGTGGGCGTGTGTGTGTGTGTCTATGGGAGAGCGTGAGTCTGTATGAGTGTGCGGTGCAAACAAATGAAGGGATGTAATTTTCTCATTTGCATACATTGTTTTGCTCGCTGCATTGTTGTTGTTGTTGTTGCTTCGTTTGCTGTCGTGTTTTGCTTGTGTGTGTTTTGCCTGCGCTTGCGCTAAAATTATATTTATTTATTAACACTGAGCCATAGGCGTGGCAGATGCCGCCCGCCCCTCCTTTACAGTTAGCGCTAGCCTGCATTATGCTTGTGTTGTTGCCTTATTTCATTTGCTTCTTTAGCGCCGAAGCCAATCATAAGCGAGCACAGTTATGTTTCTCTGTGCGTGTGCGTATATATACATATATATATATATATATGTGTGTGTGTGTGTGTATGCATGGGGGTTGACCAACGAGACGAACGTCAACGTTGACAGCGTCTTATTGAAGTTATGAAAATAATTTCCATGTTTGCCTTTTGTTTCGTTTTCTTTTTGGTCGTCAGCTGCCAGCCGGGTGTCTTCACCCTCATTTATTTTTGCTTGCTACTTTTTCTACCCGCCATTTTAAAAGTATAATTTGATGTTGCTGTTGCATATATTTGCTACTGAAGTTTATTAGGCAACATGTTTCACCTGAACAGCGAGCATTTGCCTGTATGTGTATGTGTGTGCGTGTGCTTGTGTGTGTCCATTGTTTTGTCGCGCTGATTGGTCTTTCACTGGTTACAAGCGCCTGTGCGAATGCGCCACATTGTTTTGCCATCTCGCTCGCACGTGCAGCTTTGGCTGGCTGTTAATTATTTTTATAGCGCGCCCCCTGTTGTAGCCGTTGTTGTTGTTGTTATTCTTGGAGCTGCATTTTGATTAAATATGCTTGCAGTACATGCAATGCACACACACGCACATATACACACGCTTACGCACACGCACACGCACACGCACACTGATGCAGTTTTCAATAAAATGGCGTCGCAGCTGACAATAATTCATTGCATATTTCGGGGCGTTTCTATCCATTTATATAAATACAAATGTCTGTTCAAATATGTGAATTATTAATTAAAGTATCCATTTGCATTGTCTTAAACTCTTAACTCCTTTTGCAGCCATGTCGCAGCCAGTGTCAATTCGAATTGCCGCAACTTCTGTCATGGCCGTCAGTCATATGTGTCACATGCATCTCCCTACTTGTCACCAGCTGCAAATGGAACATGGAACAGGAGTTGCAACTGCAACTGCAGCAGCAACAGTGGCGTGTGGCATGTGGCATGAGGCATGGGCAAATTAGCGCTCCATGTTAACATTTGCCCACATTGTTACGTTGTGTTAATGCATTTGAATTTTTTTCTCTTGCTCTATGTGAGACGTCGGGCAACATAAGTTCTTCATATAGAATGCCTAGGAGACTAAAAAGAGAGTATTATATATGTATATACATATATGAAAAATAAGAGGAGAGTATAAGAAGAAGAGTAATATATAAAGGAGATAAGAGATATTATGTTCTGCTTAAAAGGAGTTCTTAAGAAGAAGATAGATAGACTATATAAAATACAAAAATGAAGTTGCCTATGATCGAGTATACCATTAATTAAGCTCCTATCGAAAATAGCATACATTAGATATTTAATTGAAATTATTTATATATTTTTTATCTATAATTTGCAAACATGAAACCCATTTAAAAACAAATGCTTTTGTATATTTATATTGTAAATGTTTTCTACACATACAAATTTATGAAATCTATTAATTAGTCATGCATTCAATATAAAATTAATAATAAATTCAACAAGTAAATAAATAATCACACTAAGAAGCATACAAATTATTTTATTTATAATTAACAATTACAAATTAAATTTTAATTGTAATTATTTAATTTTAATTTATTATTTAATTTTAATTATTTTGGTTTTATCTTATTTGTAGTTATCAATACAATAAATTATGTAATTGTAATTGTGTTTATTTATTGAGTTACTTCATTTTGAGTTATTTCATTATTTATTATTTAATATATGAATATTGTGATACATATGTATATTATATACAGTACAATTTAAATTATTCAATTTTTTAATATGATGGTCTATTTTAGCTTAATTTAGCTAAAGAGTAAATATAATAAAAAATTATAAGTAAAAGAATAAGAAGACTATGTAAAAAAAAAAAATAAAAAAATATATTTTATTTATTTTATAAACCAAATTTAATATTAACTAAATAAAAACAAAATAAATAAAATAAAATAATATATTTTATTTTTTTTTTTATTTTTTATATAATTAATATTAAATTTGTTATATTAATTTGTTATATATATATGAATATTTATTATATAATTTTTTTGTTAAATATATTTTCATTATTTGCTAAAAACATAAAACTAATTTCATTTCATACGTTTAATTTCGAATTTATTATTAATTACCGTAAAAATATTCTTATTCTCTCTTTTCAAATTGTTATCAAATTAGTGTGTTTATCACAAAAATGTGTTAAATTTTTTTTTTATGCAACAAAATATTATAAATATGCAACAAAATATTATAAATATTTTCATGATCAGCATTGTGCATATATGTTGTTCTATATCTTTCTCGTTCTTGTAGCGTATTCGCAGTTTAGTGTTTAGCTGGAATTGTTGTTGCTTTGCTTTTTTAATTACTTTTTTTTTTTTTTTTTTGTTCAACTCATTTTCTTTTGTGCCTGGCAGTCAGCCGGCAGCCCGAGCCCGCGCCGGAGCTCGAGTCCTTGCTGGCAGGATTTATGCAACGGTTGGCGTCGTTGTCGTCATCAGCAGCGTCTTTGTTGCTGTTGTTGTTGTTGTTGTTGTTGCTGTTGTTGTTTCTTTTGCTTGGCTGCATTTAGCATAAATTCAGTTTCATCTCATCTCATTTCAACTCATCTCGTTCTCGTTCTCGTTCTCGTCCTCGGTCTCCTGCTCGTCCTGCTCGTCAACGTTG